ATTACTCACTTTGATTTCGTTCAATACCGTATCTTGAAATGAAGCATGAATTCCAGCAGCTTCTCTGGCTACCCACGTTCTTCCGAAAATCTTTGTGTCACGCCTAGTATACCAAAAAGCAGCTTGTAGTAAAGGGTCTTCAATACGGTTCCAAGGTAAGGCCTCAGAAAGGATCCAAACAGCTAGTATCTGGTTGAGAACGTCGTTCTTGAAGGGAAGCTTGCTATTGAAAAATTCAGGCATTTGTTGCTGGCCATTAGAAGCGACTGTGAGCTCGAAAACAGTGGGTGGAAGACAGAGTCCACTATCGATGGCCTTCTGTCGTTCTCGACACGGGTACCGAATGTGTTTCTTGTTGTATCCATCCCGATGGATCTTGAGGTTGTTTAAAGAGTTGGGAACAACACGAACGAGCTTTTTGCACCAAAGACATGGATAAGATAACAGTTTACCGTTGGGATCCTGAGAATAGAATATACTATTGGTAAGAAAGAGATTCAAAAGAAAATATTGATATATGACATCTGATTCTTACATCTCCTTTTTTGTGTTCAGTTGATCCAAAGTATTTGACTGGAGCAGGGTAATCTGGCTCCTCCTCAGCGTCATCTGCCAGGACCTTGGCTCTTTTCGCTTTCTGACGATCATTGAGTCCATCATCTGAATCTTGATTCATTTCCGATTGAGATGGATCGTGTTGACTAGGAGGTGGCTATCAAAATCAATACATACCATGTCAGTAACGGTGATAACATTGTACTAAGAGCTTGCTCACCTTAGTTGTGTCTGTTGACACTTGTTTTCTCTTCTTACGAGTTGCTACCTGGGTTGAAACGGGGGAACTGATTGTTGTTGTGGTGGTGAAGAGGCACCGAGGAACTTCCCGGGTCCATTTCGGGAGAAATAAGCGGAGCATCCTGCCTAACGCATTCACGTAATGCGGGAGGATGAGCCACGTGACGAATGACGTCTCAGTGGGCGGTTGGAGCACGTTAGACTAGCCCTGGATACTCTCACCCTGTCTAAGGGTGAAGTCGTCCTCCTCTGAGAGTACGTGACCCCTCTGATTGGTCCTCTCTCCTACACGAGTCTCACGTTCCTCCTGACCGTGAAGTCTTCTCATCCACGATCTCCGCTTTCTTTTCCTCCCATCTTACGAGAATCTTTTCGAACTATGAGGTCTAGTAGGAGAAATTTAGGTCTAGGTCCTGAAATTACTCCAGAACCGACACCCCCAAACTCAGATGATGAAATTATTAATCAAGAATTTGAAATTGAAAATACGTTTGAGGAAGAAGAAAGAAGATTGAAAGAAGATGAATGTAAGACCTACGGTCATTACATTACACATAGATCAAAATACTTAATAATTAGGACTTAAACTTAAGGATGCTGTTTCGTTATATATATTGTTTTCAAATTCTACTCCTGGTTCCTTAGTGATCTGGGACTGACTTCCCACCTCATATCCTTCGGAACCAGGTACGTCTTATTTCTTTTCATTTTCTCTTACTTTGTTCTATAGTTGTGGTTATGATGGTTAGAGTGATCTGGGACTGACTTCCCACCTCATATCCTTCGGAACCAGTCTCCTTTACTGGGATCTCTGTTGGTTTGAAATATAAAAAGTCTCTTGGGTTCTAGAAACCCTGTCCCGCTGTGCCTCACAGCGTCCCTGTTATTGTGATCTCGAGTGAAGATCATACAGACCTTACACTTTTTTTTTCGGCTTATCGCCGATGAGAATTGTACATTTTCCTTCGGCTAGAGTCCGAAGTGTCGGGTAGGCACAGGTGAAAAATAGTATCTTTTATCCATGGTTTTTTTTTCAAAGCTCAATAACTCAGTCAATTTACATGATAAAGTTTAATAGACTATATATTCTTGATCTGTGAATACAGGAGCAGGTGTGTACAGATTTATGATGTCATATGATGACATTGGAATTTTGGTGGTCGCACAGGCAAATGGCCCCATATGATATTACATTAAGTCAGTTTGAAATCTTGCTGAATCTTTCATGAATCTTTCATGTAGTCAGTGGTAGGCTCTGGCCATGAGGATCACTACAGAGGTTTGAGTGGATCATACGTTGGTTGGTCGGAAACTTCCAAATTCAATGTTTCCAAGAATACACTGCAAATATAATGTACTAGCACCTTAGCGGCGGGCGCCGCTTTAGCGGCTGACGCCGCCATTCCATGTATAACCTAAACACATCATGTACAATAGATCACAATCCCAAAAGCATGACAAAACTAAAATTTCCTACAAATACATATTTACTAAATTCAGGTGTGGGAATCACCCTTGATGACCTCAACCTGGCAAAATTTGTTTTCACCAGAGAGGTCCCAAAATTGAGATACCCAGTGAGACTCACATGTCTTTGGACCATACAGCACTTGCGAAATTAGAGAAAGTGCCGTTAGTATCTTGAAGCTC